TTCATTTTCCTGGTCCCTTATTAAGTTTTCTAGATTCCTGCTATAAGTGAGACCATCTGGTATTTTTCTTTTTCTTTTGGCTTATTTTGCTGAGCATGATCCCTTCCAGCGCCATCCATGTTGCTGCAAATTGCATGTGTTTATCTTTTTTGAATGCTGAGTAATATTCCATGGTGTATATGTACCACATCTTCTTGATCCAGTCATCTATTTTTGGGCATTTGGGTTGTTTCCAAGCTTAGCTATTGTAAACAGTGCTGCTATAAACATAGGGTGCAGGTGTTCTTTGGAATTGATGTTTCTGTGTCCTTTGGGTAGATACCTAGGAGTGGAATTGCTGGATCCTATGGAAGCTCTATGTTTAGTAGGTCCAGAAATATCCACACAGCTCTCCATAGTGGTTGGACCAGTTTGCACTCCCACCAACAGTGCAGGAGAGTTCCTTTTCTCCACACCCTCGCCAACATTTGTTGTTGCTAGTTTTTTAATATGTGCCATTCTCACTGTGTGAGATGGTATCTCATGGTAGTTTGATTTCATTCTCCCTGATGACAAGTGATGTTGAACATTTTTTCATATGTCTGTGGCCATTTGCATTTCCTCTTCAGAGAAGTTTCTTTTTAGCTCTTCTGCCCATTTTTTTGACTGGATTATTTTCTTTGTTGTTGCTGAGTCTCATCAGCTCTTTGCAGATTTTTGTGATCAGTCCTTTATCATTAGTGTTGGGTGCAAAAATGTTCTCCCAGTTGGTGGGGTTTCTCTTTGTTTTTGTTATTGTAAGACTGAACTTTTAAGGGCGGCATCACGGGGATGCCAGCAGAAGCCGAGAAGCAGGAGAGCAGAGAAGCAGAGAGAACCCAAGAGAACGCCAGAACGCCCAGATAGAGTGAAGACTTGCTGGGGGCTGGGAGGCCTGCCAGCCTTCAGGGCCCCTGGCACCCCTGCCTGCTGTGTACCTGGTAAATCCCAATAAAAACCTGAAAAGCCACTGAGGGCTCCAGGGTTCCTCCTTTTACCTGGTCTGCTGGATCAGAAAACCTGTACTGTTTCCTGTCCTGCCTTTACAGATGGTTTTCTTAGTGTTGACACTCGCTTTCAAAATGGTAAGACTGGGGTGAAACTAGGCAAGTTGGAAACCTGAAACATTTGTGGAAATGGAGACTTTACTTCTTACCCAGCCATGGATTTATTGCTTTAAAATATCTTACGATTCCTGAGCCAGGAGTTGGGGTACAGGTCAGGTCAGTCTCTTGTTTTTGCTTCTGGAAGAGGTTTAGATTCTACAATTAGGCAGAGCAACTTGTGGTCAGGTGTTCAAAGATAGAGTCAACAAGTATATAATTAGTGATTAAGTTTAAACCTTGAGGGACCTAAGGAGATTCTACATTCCCCCCAACTCCCGGAAATGAACTCACTTGCACTGCTGGATGAGAGGGTCTCTCTGGGCCCAATGGAGTGGTTCTTTTTTTTTTTTTTTTTAAAGATTTATTTATTTGTTTATACAAGCACTGGGTACAGTCCGAAGTACAGGAGGGTGAGAGAATTCACCAGAGCCAGAGCGGGGAACAGAACAGGCAGACTGACGAAATACACTGCTGAGGGGAGCAGCAGGCGGCAGGGGAGGTCTGCGCGCCATCTGGTACCCTCGCCCGGTGGCCGGGGATCGAACCAGCGCTACAGAGGCTGCGGGCCCAGCGCTCAACCGCTGCACCACCAGGGGAGGACCCCAATGGAGTGGTTCTTTCTACCTCCAGCCCCTACAGTCTACAGCCAATGCAGTGATCTCATCTGAGCTAGGATTGTGGTTTTCTGATGTTAGTTGTATTTGAGCCATCACATGGTTAGCAATGGACAAGAGGTTTTGATACACTGATATTCTGTGACGGATCCGACATGCACCTAGTGGCTTTGCTGTCCTGCCTGGTCCCACGGAAAGGGACTTGTCCTGGGCTCTGTTCAGTGTCCCTTTGTGTAGAAGTGATCAGGAGATGTGGGGTCAGTGGCTCCCTAATCTCACCCTCCTCTCCAAAGCAGCCCTAAATCGGGGGGTGGGCAGGGATCTCCATGACTACTCACCAGCTATCACTGTCCCATCTCCTGACTTAAAGCCACATGTCACATAACACCAACTGTTGCAGGCAGTGCCAAGGTGACAGGGCTGGGGGAGGGGTGGGACCAGTTGGGGTCTAAGGAGGGAGACATGGATGACCTGCAGGGGTTCTCTGTCGACTGCTTTCTTGTTTCCTGAAATCATACTAAAGTGTAAGATGAACAAGACAGCAGTCATTTTAGGGAGGGCACAGCTGTGTTTCGTTTCTGTGCAGAAACCACAAAGACTACAAAAATGAGAAAAACAAAACTTAACAAAACTCAGACCAACGATAACAGATCAACCAATCAGAATAGACCCGGGTGCTAAGAATGGAAAGTCCCACTTCCCGACAATATGGTATAAAGAAAGCCTTGTGCCCTGCAAAGGGGCCTTCTCTCAACCTGATGGGACTGCTGCATAAGTGTACCAGGCAGAATTGGGCCCTAGCTTAAGCTAGCGATAAAGCCTTTTGCCTTTGCATCTCTGGCTCCGTGTGGTGTTTGGGAACCCGGATGGAGTTGAGGTGCCAACTCCTAACAAAAGCTCTTTGAAGATGGCCAGGAAATTCAAGGGCAGGCTGGGAAAGGGGAAAGGATGAGGAAGTATAGACAAGGAGGGGGTGTGCAGCAGGTGGAGGGCATCCAAGACCGGGGGGCCTGCTGGAGCCTGGGCTCACTGTGGGGAGTCCCCAAGCCCTGGAGGAATGGGGAGAGTGGCAGCATCTCCTGAAGTCAGAGTCTGGTTCAAAACCAGAATTGTCTCTTTGTTTGTTTTAATTTTTCCAGATGAAATCTGCAAACCCATCAGAGTGGAAGATGAGCAGTCACTTTCCAAGCGTGTGTTTCACAGTTTCCTCCCAACGTGGGGTCAGCAGTGGTACCTGCCAGGAGCAGCCCAGGTTATGGCCTCAGGCCTGCCCAGGCCCACGCTGTCCACCCCAAAGAGGAGTGTGGGGGCTTCGGGCCTTCTTTTGTCCTTCCTCCTTTTTAGGCCTTTTTATGTTTCCTCAGCTCCTTGCTGCTGCCCCAACCTTCACTGGAGCAGAGAGAACACAGCTGCCACTTTGACCTGGAAAGCCCTTTGAGCCTGAGACTGGGAGTGCAGTTTCTCTGTGCTCCACATGAGGGGGGGAGCTCTGCCCAGATGGGCTGGAGGGTCTCACAGACACTGCCCTTGCCCAAACATTCTGGAACTTCCTTAGATCAGAAAGTCAGTATCATTCTTCAGACTTGCTCTGAAATCCTTCAAGCTTTTGCAAGGGCAATTGATCAAGGAACACGATTTGGCCTGACTGTCTATAATACAAGGACAAAATGTGAAGGATTATCTTCAAAGAAAAAGGATCTGGTA